TATTCACACTCCTCCACACATTCTTTGTTTTCTTCAGGTGTTGTAGCAATGAAATGCATTCTAGATACGACTATGTAATTATTTCCATATGAATTCAGACAGAAGTATGTAATGAGTGAGATACAAATATAACTGCATATACAGTTTGCGTCTTTTGGGGGGGAAATAAAATTGCAAAATGAGTTGTCATTGATTTCCATAACACTTTCACAATGATGAAATAAAATGATCAACAAAAATATACACATTTTAATACAATAATATTTACATACCATCAGAATTTAAGGGGTAAAAATTATTAGGGAGGTGTTTAAAGTCAAAAGCATAATCATTATCTTTGTTGTTAAATGATTCAAAAATGTACTAAAACGATGCAAATTAATTTCTGTCATGATGTTTTTCTGCATGATTTGACCTGCAATAATGCAGAAGTAAATTACCTATGTTTGAATATGAACTGTTTAAGGTAAATTGAGTGTGGGAAAAGATATTTAACACTGTGAACAGATCATGTTGAATTGCAGTTTACCTTTTCACACCCCAATTTATAAACTGTAATTATTCGGAAAAATTAAAATGATGTTTAATGACAGGTTTTCATAACTTGACGGATTTATTTGGAATGTTTCAGAAGAGGTGGGTGTTTATAGTCGAACATGGCAACACAAAAAGAAATTTAAGTCAGGCGAGTATGGTACATTCCCCATATGGAGTTATCAGAACCATAACTTCCACACGTTTCATATGAAATTGTCACCATATGACATCGGAATATAGAACTATCATGACTTTCATACTCTTTATATATCCTTTGTTATGATCTTCACATTCATAATATAAAGCTATACAACACAATGACTTTCACACACCCCATATGAATCTATTCTCTCCATAGTTAAGTTGCACACTTCACATATGAAACACACCACTTCCACATTTTTCATACATAGCCATTGTCCCAAGACATGAATTTCCCAACCTCCATATTGACCCTTCTTCTTGACTTTCACATTCTTCATATAGAGCCATTACTATGCCATCCACCCTGCCATATGGAGATGCTACCAAGACATGAATTTCCCAACCTCCATATTGACCTTTCTTCTTGACTTTTACATTCTTCATATAGAGCCATTCCCATGGCATCCACACTGCCATATGGAGAAGCTACC